AGCCTGGGTGAGCTCTGCTGCGTGGGGTGAGGATGGGGGGGGGACACACACACACCCACCCAGGAACGGGTGGGACACGCCGCTTTCCGCCCCTCCCCGCGGACTCGGTGTGGAAGTTACACGGGAAACCTCCCGGGGCTGCCGGGGCCGCAGCTCCTCTTTGTAAAAGCTCTGCAGGAGCCGGGGCGACAATCCGGACAGGTTGCTGGAGTCTCATTAATGATACAGATATGTGTGTGTTTAAATAATTTTTTTTAGACGAAGCGGGATGTAACTAATTAGCATCCCCACGCTCTCTTTTAATTGCTGCCAAATAGGAAAACTACTGAATGTGACAGAGGCTCGGCAGTGGGCTCTGGCTCCCCTCCCGAGAGCGTGTTCACACCTGGGGGGTGCTTTATGGGTCCCCCATGGGAAACTGCATCCTCGTAAAAAGAGAGGTGTGCGGGGGAGCTAAGCCCCCAGCAAGCAAGAAACCACTTCTCCTTGGAAACAGGGGATGTCCCCAAAGTAAGGGCACCATTTTTTTTTTTTTAATTTTTAATAAGTAAATAAAGCTGCCACCTGTCAGGAGCCACCTCCCTGGCTGCTCCCCGGTTCCTGCGCAGCTCTGACCCGCGTCTCAAAGGGAGTGTCCGGGGAGGCACCGTGCCCTGGCAGCAGCCCTGGCTGCCTGCGCCTTTCCTGTGCCCGGCAGTTCCCTGGAAAGGGAGAATTTCGCCGGGCGTGGGAGGGCACAGCCGCCGGTGTCCTCTGCAGGTGGCCCCCAGCCCGCCCCGCTTCTCTGCCAGTTTGCGTATTGAGGATTGCGGGAAGCCACGCTTCGGAGAGGGAGACCCTCAAAAAGTGTTATTCCCCCCCCAAGAAAAGGCCCGAGCTGTCCAGATATTTACTCAAAGCATCCCTCGACAGAAGCACCCGGGGCAGGAGCCTCGCTCGGCCCCGGCATCACCTGCCCGGCGGCCGCCGGGGCGCGGAGGGAACCGCTGGGGGCCGGGCCCCCCCCCCCCGGGGGGGGCGGTGGGCAGCCCCCTTGCCTTGCCTTGGCCGGCCGTTTGCTGCCCCCGGAGCCCGGAGCCCTGTGCCGGTCCCTGGCAGCTGCCGGGGCTGCCAGCAGAGACCGAGGAGCAAGTGGACGTGCGGGAAAGTTTGTCTCCAAACTTCCAAGTGTTTAGCCTCTTCTCTGCTTTCTTGGTTTGTTTTCTAGGAAGCCAAGTGCTTATTTTGGTCGCCTTGTTCAGGTAATTTCTTATAAATCCCTCATCCTCTTCCGCGCCTCTGTTTGTAAATATTATTTATATACACGACAAATAATGAAACTGAATTCGTCTTCGTGGTTTTGGCCACCAAAAGAAACAAACCCAAGGTGTTCAGACCTTGACAGTTCTCAAGAATGAGAAAATCATGGTCGCCTCTCAGCGTGACGTTTCCGAGCAGAAGGAAAATCTGGCTTCTGAGGTTATGATAAAAATTTGCTACAATACAGGGTCTCCCTGGAAGGAAAAAGAGCTGATCCCAAACCTGGGAAGCTCGACGGTTCCCTTCCTCGTTTCTTTCTAAATCCATCTTGTCCCTTTAATACAAATGAACTTTAAGCTCCCCCTGTCTTTTATTATTTAGATTCCTAGTCTTAATGACGCCAGGAGCAGCGCAAGCACACTCGCTAATAATCGTTGCGAACTGCATTTCAAAGAAACATCCCTGGAAGAAAAACACCGTCGTTTAAAAAAAATAAATAGAGACTCCACCAAAAATGATAATGCGGAGTCCCTGCTGATGATGGGCTTAATGCAACTGCTGCAAATCAGCACCTGCCTGCTAGATAAGGCAGATAACACCTCCAACAGTTATTTCCAGCACCCCCGTCCTCCTCGGTTTTATTTTTAGATCATTCATTTAGTCAGATGGAGTTTTTTGGTGTTTGGGGTTTTTTTTGCGTTTGGGTTGGGTTTTTGTGTGTGGTTTGTTGTTTTTTTTTTAATTTTTCTTTTATTTTTCTTCCTTAATCCCTAAGAAAAAAAAAACGAGGGAAGAATGAACTGGTTTAAATCTCGAGACGTGGGTCTATCTCGGGCCTTTAATAACAGCTCTCGGGCTGCTCGTCCCCGGGCACTGAGATAGCCGAGATCTCCGCAGCCAGCACTGTCCAGGGTCATCTTTTGTCCCTGCCACAATAAACAAACACTTGCTCCTCTCATGTAAATGAGCAGTGATCCGGATGCACCTTAAAACACTGGGAGAAGTCGTTGCTTTTGAAAACGATGTTCATTTTGTCTGACACGCATAACTGCATAGATCAAATGGCTGCAGAAAGGTAGCAATTTGGCAGGGAAGGATTTTCTAAGCTTAGATGAAAGTGTGCTCACGGCGTCCGAAAATGCCTGTCTCACCTCCCACCTGCTTCCCCAACCCCAAGTTTGCGCGAAAAGATTAGGCGGGCGGGATTTTCGTTAAAAATAAAAATAATAACGATGCGAGGAACCAGTGGCACAATTCACACAGCTCCGCATCGGGGACGCTGAATCAGTGCTGCTTTACCCACCAGGGATTCCACACAACTGCAATAATCTTGTTGGATAATTAAGTAAATTATACCTTAAACATTGGTAGCTTGCAAGTTGTTATCAGTAATTCAAACTCTTGACAATTATGCAAATCGAGCTCAGGCTGGCGCTCGGACTTTCTCGCTTTTGCAACGAGGACTTTTCCCGAGTTTTATTTCACCCAGAAGCCGCCGGGACCCGCCGAGTGGTGGGGGGGGGCACCGGCGCTGCGCCTCCCCACGCGGGTTTTAGCAAAGTCCTCCCACGCCTGGAGGGGGGGGGGG